CTCGGAGTCGCAGAAGGCGGGACCGGAGACGAGGCCCTGGGTGGAGGAGCCGGAGGAGTAGGTGTTGAAGGAAGACCAGAGAGTGCATTCTCCAGAGTCCAAGTGGAAAGAAAAGTGGCTGCAGCCGGAGTAGGAGGCGCAGTGCATTTGGCAGGCGTCGAAGGCAGCAGCAGAACGCGTCGTCAGGCTCGCGCCCACCACGCCCACGTTCGCGAACTGGCACCCTGCAGCAGCAGCAGCAGCAGCAGCAGCAGCAGCAGCAGCAGAGGTGGGAGGACAAGCGTGCGGCCCGGACGGCTCAGCGGGGATGCACGGCAGGCAGCATTAGCAGCAGCAGCAGCAGACTGAGCACCACTTCTGCCCGTAAACCCAGCAAGGCATCTGCATGCATGCACGTCTGCATGCATGCACGTCTGCATGCATGCATTTCGCATGCATGCATGCACAGCTGCATGCACGGCGGCCCGCACCAACGGCTGCCGGCCTGCCTCCCCGCACGCACTCGCGCATGCACACCTGCATGCACGCATGCCTGCATGCATGCGTGCAAGCAGGCGTGCATGCATGCATGCATGCATGCATGCATGCATGCAGGGCAGCGCACCTGGGAGCACGGGGACGCAGTCGCGGGTGGCGGAGACCTTGTCGAGAGTGTGTTGGCCCTGGACTTTGAGGGCGGGGTCAGGGAAGGCCCTGAGACTGCAGAGGTGCGAAGAAGAACTCCAAGTCCACAGCCCGCACTGCTGGAGGCCCCTGCAGTGCATGAAGCATGCAGCAGCAGAGCGGGCCCTGAGGGTCTTGAGGGGGGCCCCCCTGTAGTCGGTGGCGGGCTGGACGCAGGGGGGGGGGGCCCCCCGGGGGTCGAAGGCCGCGGGGTAGTCCGCAGCGCTGGGGGGGCCCCCCGAGGGGCCCCTGCATGCGCGGGGCCCCGAAGTCACGTCGGGGTCTTCACGACGAGCCAGAGGAGCTGCGGAGGCCTTCAAATAACAAGCTCGAGTTGAGAACTTCCAGCTAAAGAAGGCGCAGTCGGGGCGGCCTGCGCAGAGCCTCTGGCAGTCGAGGGGGTTCATAACTAAGCGGCCCTCCACCTTCTCCACGTCGTGGCCGGGGTAGTCCACGCCCACTTCGAAGCAGCTGCTGCTGCTGCTGCTGCTGCTGCTGCTCAGGAAGCTGCACTGCCGGGGCCCCGACACCACGCCCGGGGCTGCGCGCCGCTCCACCAGGGCTCCCACGGACTTCAAGTAGCAACTCCTGGTGAAACTGTTGTAGCTCCAAAACCCGCAACCCTTCAAACTCTGGCACTCCTGCATGCATGCGCTGGGCGAGGCCACGCCCCCCACCTCCCGCAGGTCCCACCCGAAGTAGTCGTACCCGTATTCGAAGCACTCCATGCTTCGGGGGCCCCCGGGGGCCCCCAGGGGGGCCCCGCTCAGGCCCTGCGACAGCTGCCCCAGCGCCCCAGAACCCACCAGGGCCCCCGCGAGGGCCACAGCCGCGGCGGAACGCCCCATTCTGCCCCTGCAGGCTGAGGGGAAGCAGCGGGAAACAAAAAGAATTCAAAAAGACCAAAAATGAGAGCCTCTGGGCTCGAGACGGGGCCCGCGGGGAGCCAGAGCGCGTCTGTTCGCGTGTACAGACACTCGACGCGAAGCCCAGGGGCACCGCCGAGGAAAACAAATTCCAAAAGAGAAATATAACACAAATCTAATGCAAAATGCGAAGAAGTTCCTTCTCCCCCGAGTCCGGGGGGCCCCCAACTCCCGCGGGGGGGAGAAGACATGCTAGGGAGACACGCCCGTCTCCCTGACGCCGCCGCCTGCACTCGGAGACGCAACTTATAGAAACTTAAACTTCTAATATCTTTTTAATTTAATTTAATTCTTCAAATGTTTCCAAGAGGCGCCCCCGACGCGCAAACGCGGGCGCCGGGTGTACCGACACCCTAATCCGCGCTCGCCACACCAGGTCACCTCCTCGCCACTTCGCCAAGTGACCTCTAAACTCAAAAGAACTTCGAAAACTCTTTCAATTGTTTTTAATTTAATTTTTTTTATTCCATTTAACTCAAAGTCGCTTTTACTTGCCCTCCTTTTGCTGCTGTCCAGACGCGAGAGTGCGCGGCTCGCCGACCGAGCACCGCTACCAGCAGCAGCAACAGCTATTGCTGCTGCTGCTGCTGCTGCAGCAGCTGCTTCTCCTTTAGTATACATTTGTGTCTCACTGGATTTCAATCCTCACTGAGAACAAAGCCTCTGGAGTAGGGCTGGAGTGAGGCTCGCCGCTGCTGTTGCTGCTGCTGGTCCAGGCCTCTTTACAGCGCCTCAAAACGCCCTAATGCCCACCACAAAATCCCATCAGGGTTTAGGGTTTAGGGTTTAGGGTTTGCAGCGGAGTCTGGGACTTCTAACTCAGCTCACCAGCCTGGGAGTTCGCAAGACTGAGCTTAAGAGGGCCAGGAGGCCCCCACAGAAATCTACATAAGGGTGCCAAAGAAAGCCTCCTAACAGTTTAATTATAATAAAA